GTGATTTATCGGATTTTACGCAAAAAAGTAAGATTTTTCATTGATATTCGTCGATTTTTCATTATTATGTGTTAGAGTTTGCTTTTTTTCTTAATATTGCATGACATTGTACATGTATTAGATTTCAGTTACGTATAAAACATACTTAGAATGTTTTTAATTTACATTTTTATTTTAAGGTTATTAAAATATATGACATATAGTAGACAATGAAACAAAACCACGTTGTACACAATGAGCCATGTTTCATTGTGTACTAATCGTGTTTCATCGTTTACCATGTAGCCCATTGCTAGTGTTTTGTGTTGTTTAGTATCTATATAACTACACATATCATCCACTAAAAGCTTTTTCTTTTGTCTTTCGCTACATACATAGATTTACTAATTCATTGTCTTTTTAATTTTAGATGGCGCGCACTAAAAGCTAACAAGCAAGAAAGGTAACCACATTTCTGATAACATGCTTCAAGCTATCAAACTATATAGGTAAGGATAAAGCATCAGAAAGGCAGATAAGGAGTGTAAGTTATGCTATCCGACACTGCAACGTTATATAAAAAAAATGTAACAGTACTGCGGATTTACAAAACTAGCAATGATGATGTCAACAAAATATTAACATATTACCAAGAAATAACACTGAAAGAATATTTCAAACAATCTACATTAAACTTTTATGGATTATCCACTGAAGACGTCCGCAGCCTTGCTTAATGGCAAATATAAATAATATAATATTTCTCGGGAAAACGTCGCCGAGTACCGGAACAAACTTGTGTCTGAAGTCGAGTCTTTGCTGAACAAAGTCTCGGATTGGGGGCGACTAAATCTAGTCGAGTTTAATCCTCAGAAGACACAAGTTTGCGCGTTTACCGCTAAAAAGAACCCCTTTGTCGTATCTCCTCAGTTTCAAGGCACTCCCCTTCTTGCCTCAGCCAGTATCGGAATCCTCGGAGTCGACATATCGAGTGACGTGCAGTTTCGTGGTCACTTGGAAGAGAAGGCCAAATTAGCCTCTAAAAAGCTTGGCGTACTCAGCAGAGCGGGACAGTATTTCATTCCGGCACACCGTCTGCAACTTTACAAGGCGCAGGTTCGGCCTCACATGGAATACTGTTCCCATCTCTGGGCAGGGGCTCCCCAGTGCCAGCTCGTTCCACTTGACCATATCCAGCGCAGAGCTGCTCGAATCGTCGACGACCGAGTCAGTCAGTTGTTCATGGGCGGCGGTAGTCACTTACCATCAGGTGAGCCGCATGCTCGTTTGCCCCCGCTCCTATAAAAAAAAAAACCGCTTTTAACATAAGAGTAGATGGTGGTGGAGATGTGACGACCTAGTAAGACATGAGAGTGACGACCCGGTAAGACATGAGAGTGACGACCTGGTAAGACATGAGAGTGACGACCTAGTAAGACATGAGAGTGACGACCTGGTAAGACATGAGAGTGACGACCTGGTAAGACATGAGAGTAACGACTTGGTATGACATGAAGGAAGTCGATGGATGCAGGTGGTTCAGGACTGTGCTTTGTGGCATTCCCTGGGGGAGGCCTATATACAAGAGTAGACTTGTGAAGGGCTGTAATGAAAATGACCATGATTGTGAGACTGATTGTTATAAAGTTACTGATAATAAAATAAGTTGACTAAGCTGGCTTTTTAGTGTTTGATAATAATTTTGTTGATTTTATAACTATTCAAAACCTTAATTTTTGTTTAAGTTTCTTTTACTTTAATAAAACTAACTCGAAATAAAAATAAAATGGTCTGTACTATTTGACTATCATTAAAATAAACTAATAAAATTAAGGTTATAAGCAAGAAGATCATTTCCCATTTTGTTTAAAAACCTTAGTCATAAAATATCTATAAATATTTTGAGAAAAATAATAATGCCAGTCTATAACCGATTAAATTTGCTATCTTCGCCTTAAAATTTATATCTAATATCTTAAGAAATTATTAAGTCCTAAAATTTAAGTGGCTCATTGTTGGACAGGTTACCCTACACATAAATTATTATGAAACAGCATTTAGCACTTGGGGTCTCTTAGGGTGATTACCCCTAATTTTCAGTTTACTAAACGGGTATGTGCCTGTGCATCTATCCACGTCCATGGCACCAGGCGTCCATAAAAAATTTCTGCATGCCGAATTGAATTTAGATTCTTACACTTTAGATTATATTACCGCCATTTGGGTCTTTCCTGATAAAATGGCGTAAAATTTTGAAGATAAAAACGAATAATATTTGGACGCATTCGCGTCTGCGGCACCCGAGTGAAGTTTTTGAGACGCACAAAGCACGTGTTGTGCGTCCATGTTGAGTTGAGTCCAGGTTGAATTCCATGCCACTTGTTATGGTTTCTTTCGTCCTGATTCCACAAATGCCTTTTTTTACACTAAAGAAAATGGATTATGTATTTGGATGCAAATTAAAAAACCATGTTCACTATTCATTTAATATTTACTTTTATAATTATGTTATTTTCATTCATAACTAACAACGATATGGGTGTTACTATGTATTCAAATTCAGTAAAAACAAATTAAAAACAAAATACAATTTTCACTCACTATTAATTTTAATATTACAGTACTAGTATGTAATAAGAAAACTCTTTTATTTTAAATAATTTATATAAGTAAGTCAACCCCATTTCGAAGTTTGCATGTATGATGCATTATAATGCTTTACAGATAAATTCTCATGAAGTTGAACGTGCACTTAAATCGTGAAAGTGAGAATTCAGTGGGATAATAAAGACGTTCCGATAATACAGCTTCAAACTTTCAGGTCACTAGTATGTCTTAACTTTTTACACAGAGGGTCTTTAGAAGCAACGTCGATTACAAAATTCATATTAGATAGACTTAATAAAATATGCGTATCTAAACTATCTTACTCCTTACTGAATCCGCAAAGGTGTTATGCGTGGTCCGCAGCGGGACACGCGACGACCGAAGCAGACAGTAAGGCGAGCGCGTGCCCGACAGCTAACCAGAATACGTTACTCAGAGTCATACAATAAAGATAATTATAATATTATATTTACACGAATAATAAAGGTGTCAGCAAATAAGTAGCCTTAGGGACGACAACTAAGCTCCACTATGTGTGATTTGAAATCGTGCGCCGAACGCGTTATATTTCTTAACATACTACAAATTTATACGTAATTAGTACATACATAATAGTAATACAATGTGTATTATATACTTGGCCATAGCCAAAATGTACATTGGGACTTCCCGATGGATGCTGCCACTCGGCTGAGCGCACAATTTGTCCACGTATTGAACATGTTACTTACATGTCGTGAACCAATTGACAAAAACACATCGCAGAAATCCGACCCACTGTACAATTTTGTACGTGTAATTGTGATTGCAACCGCTCCATTTGATTTTCTTTTACACGGGACTATCTTGTAAAACATCAGCTGCCCGCTTTGTGTAAGTGAAACTTATCAAAACTGGTGCGAGAGGTAATTACATCGACAATGTTACGCGATCAGGCTACGTCTAAACCATGAATGAAATATTTAATTAGTCTATACTTAAATGTTTTAAAATACCTCGCCTAATTTGTATCTGTATCGAACTCGAAGTGCGAAATGAAATTGCATGAATGCTTATGACACTAAAACTATAATAGTAGATTTAATTACTTCAACATTGTTTCATAAATGACTACAAGTAACGTGTTTTCAATGACAAAATTTTACATAGCAGAAATATAGTTTTATTGAATATAGGATACAATATTATCGAAAAACTATGACGTTACATTAGGACACCGACAGTGCTATTCATTAAATACATTACATTATATCCAGCCCTGGATAAGATAAGGTAAATTACACCGCAATAAAAAAGGTTCTCATTAAGAAGTTGCCCGAAAAACATATAGTTAATAAAATGTCGTAAGTCTAAAATTTAAATCTTTTGAATTGTTTATACACAAATACACAATATTTTGCAATATTATTAAATAATATAAATTATCTGAGAGATCAGTTTATGCTAGTTATAAAAATTTACAACTTTTGCTTCTTTATGTACGCAACATAATATTCCTTTTGCAATGTTCCATCGTTGAAAAGCGAACTATTCTCATAAAAGTTCATCAGTTGGTGATATTTTCCTTTAATAAATATTCTAAAACACTACTGAATGTTTCTTTACTAATTACACGGCCCAAGCAAATTTACGGTCTAATGAATCATGCAACAATCCCTCACAGTTAATTTGTGTGAAACAAGTTTTAGGACTATTAATATACATCTATGTGATAAAAAATGTTTCTCGCCGAGTACATCATGGGTACAATTAAAACGAAAGTACTTATGACAGATAACCAATAACACAAGGTGAAAATAAAACAAAACAATTTATCCAGATAATAATCTATCGTTTACCAAATAAACATTAATTTAAAACGCAGCATCAAGGTATGTACATAAAAATTGACTTACAAAATTACAAAGAAATCACATGGCGACGGTACAGAGTCTACTGTGGATTTTACCCTTCTTACCGACTACGACAGCTCAAGCTTTATCGACAATTTAATTACAATACGGTATCACACGATTACCCGCCGAAAACACCTATTATGCATATAATTTTACCCGATGGCCAACACGAAAAAAAAGATACTATCACTAAATAGCATACAAATGACCCTCGATCTGATTCAGAATAGGAAGGCATCGCTACGAGAGTGGCAAATAGCGCGATTCACGGGCTTCGCGTCGGGCCGACATCCGCATAGCTTACGTGCGCTCCATCCAACGCATAATTGTATATACCATCCTATTTGTATAATTGCCCTAAATACATGTAGACTGACGAGGTAGACGAGAGTCTGTCGAATACACTAAGGCTGTCGGACCTCGAACGTCGGCCTCATGGAGAGACCGCGGGAGGGCGTGTGATGAGGGGTCGGGCGACGTGGGCGTGGGCGATGCGAGCGTGGCCGGCTCCCGCGCCGCCTACGACGCGCCCGGCGACCCGCCGCTGGGCCCGCCCGCCGCCGCGTTCTCACCTGTTCAATTTGTTGTCATAAGTACATAGCAAACAAAACAACACAAAGTGTTTTCACCTTATTACATTTTTATCTCTAATGCCGCGGCCACAGACATCGCGCTGGCGCGAATAATCGCGTTATCGCAATATATTAGGTGGTCGTCCCTTCGTGAATACGTCGTCACTTCGTGCGAAGTTTCAAGCACATCGTATCGCTGTCGGTTAATTCTCACACTTCAAAGGGTTTTATCGCGATGGACTTCGCGTGTGCGGCCACACTTCAGTCTGCCCACAGATATCGTGCGTAGCGGATGTGTCGACGTAAATTAGGGTTTGCGACGTATTTCCGATATGGATTTGTGTAATTAAAAAATGTTGGAATTTATAAGTAATTACGAGTCCGAACCGATATTATTTATATATTTTTCTTATTTATTAAAAATTGACAATAATGAAAAATAATTATTCGCTGCCATATAATACATAGCGACCGTGGCGCCCATTTTGTTTTAAGCGTGTGTTTTGCGCGATAAAATTTACAACGCGCAGTGTGGCCCAGCACCTTCGCGCTAGGCCGAAGGCGAAGTGTGATCACGATAATTCTATCGCGATGTGTGTAGCCGAGGGGTAACAGAAAGGAAGGTAATCACTGCTATAGTGCCGGCGTTATCAACTGAGTCGTCGGACAATAAAACATTGTAATCAGTCCATCCCGCTCGCACTCATTGGGATTATGGAGCGTCATAATGTTGTGCGTAACAGCAGGTGGTCGATATTGATAAGATTTAATGAATGGATTCTTAAGATTTGAAATATGTAATGAAATTATAAAATAACACAATCAAATAAATAAAATATATACATTTATAAATATTTTATTATATTACAAACTGTCTTTTTCATCAAAGTCATCTGTGTCACTATCGTCTTCCTGTAGATTTATAATCAAACGTTCAACTTGATCTCTCAAAAAAGTTTTTTCACATGCTTCACACATTTAACCCAGTTTTCCCTGGTATTTTTTAAGACGAACTTCAACATCGACTATTTTAAAAGTATGGTGTTGCGCTGCAATTTCTCCTTTTACCTAAGCCCATATGAACTCAATAGGATTATATTGACGATGATATGGCGGCAGTCGTATCACTTCATGAAAATATTCATTTGCCAGCTGATCTATTTAAATTTTGGTGCATAGCGGTAGCACATTCTAATTGTTATTGACATTTATGGCCCGACGACTCAGTTGATAACGCGGGCACTATTAAGGTTTTCTTTGTTGTAAATAGAACTTCACATAATGGCTGGGCTCCGCAGAGACATTGGAGATCTCAATATCAGACTAGTCCCTCGCAAAATAATTTTATTGAATGGGCGATAATAGGAATCCATGAAAGTAGACGAAAGTTGTATGAGCTGTATGATGAACATTACGGAATACGAAAAAAATATTCTTTAATATTTAAATGTCTACAGATAAAGCTTTATATGAAAACAACAAAATAAAAATTGCATCTAATAAAATTAAAATGACGAGTAGCATAATTAACAGTGAAACATGACGGCTTGCCATAATTGCTATGCTCGGAAGGGGTATTACCAAATTCAGTTCAGTACCTGACAATTCGCGCCCATAACGCTGCTCCCTGTGTTTGTCTGATTATTATACATTATGCATTTACATAAAATAATTAATAGGTATATTGTACTGCCATTTTTAGAGGCCACAAGCTTTTTTATGCATTTATTTTAGTCGACTCTTACGACAGTTATGGAATGTTTGAGAGCTGGTAAAATATGATTAGTTATATATTTTAAAGTCCCGCTTTGTTTCTTGCTGGTTCTTCCCAGGAGAGCAGAGTTGGGGCGGCTATGTACCTTACGCGACAGTGCGGTGACATCGGGCGTGTATGTGTATGTAAGTGAGTGCACGTAGCAGCGGTGGGGCGGGAGGCGGCAACGCACCATGCGCGCAAGTGTGTGCCATCAGGCGCGTAGCGTAAGTCAGTGCCCGTTGCAGTGATCTGTTAAAACAGCTACTCACCTTACGCGATAGTGCGTGACATTGGGCGCGCAATGTAGGACAGTGCACGTAGCAACGGCTGCGGAGGTGGAACGGCTACGCACCTTGAGTTGTGGTGCGTGACGTAGGGCGCAAAGTACACGCAGCAGCGGTGCTCCTGCGGAGCGGCTACGCACCTGGCGCTGTGGAGCGTGGCTTGGGGCGCGCAGCGTGGGCCTACGCACCTGGCGCGTCGTGCTCCTGCGGCGCGGCGGCGGACGCGGAGGCGGCGGCCGCGTCGGCGGCGGGCTGCGGGCGCGGCTTGAGGAACTCGTTGAGCGAGGGCTGGATGGCCAGCTCGTAGTCGGTGAAGTTGAAGAGCGGCGGCAGCGCGCGCCCGTTGGGCAGGCGCGCGCCGGGCTCGCGCAGCTCGTCGAAGAAGCTGTGCGCGCACGCCTGCAGCGGCGACAGCCGCGCGCCCGGCGTGTACTCGAGCAGCCGCGACACCAGCGAGATCGCGTCCGCCGGCGTGCACGCGCGGAACACCTGCACACCGCACCGCACACAACACACGTCACACCTCATTCTCATTTCTCATACAACTATTCTCATTGATCGATTTAAATTTAATATTTTATTAATGTTTATATTACAATATTTATGTATACACATTATGTATACCTTATTAAAGTTCGAAATTGAAAATAGTATATATCCCAAACGAAGGGTAAGTAATAGTAAATAACATAGACTTAGAATATCCAGTATACTGGCATATAGACCACAAACTAATAAGAAGTGCCAGCGCACGTAAAGACCAACACAGCGTGCAAGGGAGAAGAAAATTCCTTATACCTGTAACCGATTTTGAATGACAGGTCGGCACAAGTCGGCACGCAAGAAATAGCTCGTAGATATTTTGTAATTTTTTAGAGTGTAATACTCGTTATTTTTAGTAAGTAACTTTTTTCCAAAATGGTTACTTGCTCTGTGAGTGAATGTGATGTTATTAATAATACAAATAGTCCTGATAATTGCACATTTCACAGGTAAATTCTTAAGACATCGTCAATGTTATGACGCGTTTATTTTTGGTTAAAATTTATGTTACGAGGGCGACACTGAGAGTTTTTAGAACTGGCCACTTGTAAACGACATAATAAAAAAAAATAAGTTCAAATTTTGAAAATGGAACTCTTATCCAATATTATTGTGTATGTTTTATTAATTTGTCATTTGTTTACGATTTGGCGGCAAATTGAAAATTGTCTGTGTCACGTCAGCATGAATTTAACGCGAGAAAATTTTCGTACAGTGATTTTTTATGACTTTCGATGTCATTTAAGTCAACAAGAAAGTTATGATAGACTTCGATTGGCTTTTAACGATGAAGCTCCATCTCGTGAAACTGTTTACAACTTGTTTAATGAGTTTAAATGTGGTCGCACTAATCTCAGCGATGATCTGCGAGGGACGCCTTCTACGACGACGACTGAAGATAACATCAGTGTTGTGCGGCGTAAGATTGAGACTGACAAAAAAGTGACTATTCAGCAGATTCGGAGGAGCTTAGGCATCGGTATGAGTCAAGTGCACAAAATCCTCCATGTACGATCCAACCGTACATTTTTGCTGGCGTTAACATTTTACGCAATGCATAGCGCTTCATTGCGTAGTTAGACGATTACAAAAATTGAGTTAGTTCACGTTTTCACCGTAGCCACGACGAAAACGAACTCATTAACATAACATTTAACATTATTCAATATATTCTAATCTTATATTCTTCTTATGGCAATCGCACTAAACAATCTAATTTAATATAATATGTATTACTTGAGAGATACATTGTGTTTTCATGCGATGGCCAAGTCAATTTATTTATTTAAAACATAAATGATTTTTGATATCGATATGGTCACTATACGATTTTGTTAAGTTAGCTAATTACGTAATAATTTAAGACAGAAGGACGCTTAAGTAGGGACTGAATAAATTAACCGACTTGGTATTACATGGATCTAACAACTTTTTACGGTAGAAGAACTGAGTTGCGAGACTTGGCTTTTTTACAAGTTATGTTTTTGATGGCATCATATTTACATTGCTTGTTCAGTCGCTTAGCGATATACATAAGTAGTGGTTAAGGAGCAATGTATTTACTACAAAATAGTACCGTCGCAGTGATATTAGAAAACAAAAATAACGCATTAACAGCAAAAATTATTTTACGATTTGTTGTTTTTCATGATTTTAAAGATAAAGATAGTAAAATACTTGATCTTACATATGGTAAGTGATTCCATGATCTACAAATATTTTGTTTTGGCTTCGGTTTTTACAAGAAACCACTGAATAACACGGCATTCTGATATTGTTTCACGATTACGGTTGAAAGTATACTAATACGCAGAGACGGCCGTTTGAATAGAACCTGAGCATTTCGATCATAGCGTACGGACACAGACACGCCCCCTTGCCACTTCTCCTCTATTTAATATTTCTATGGCCAAACCCGTACCGTCCGATAAGGAACTTCGTTCCAATATTTTACATGTACACTAGGGATTGACTCAACTATATCAAAATTAATGTCGATATTATTCTTGAATGTTTAGAATGAATCGGTAGATTTGAACACACAATAAGAAAATAAATCCTCGGTTTGCGTACGAAAAATGTAATTTTTTGCCATTTGTCAAACAGAATCCCTCTGGATTCTACATCTAGAACAAATTGTTAAGGTTAAATGGACGAATTGGTTGGAATCCAAAGAAGAAGAAGAATATTTTCTTGAGAAGTATAAAAGAAAAAGTAGAATAAAAACAATTTTATTAAAAGGAGCCATTTCTACATTATTTGTACCAGTAAGTATAATATTAATAATAATAACCTGGGATATTTTGCACTTGAATTAAAATCATGGACCAGGAACATGTTATATGATATTTTTTAATTATTTTAGAACTATCATGGTAAAAATTCAGCTAAGTTTTGAAGTTATTCAATTTCATGCACAAAACAATTTTTAAATCTTTTTACCGCTTCCTTAACAATCATTTTTCGATAGTCTTGAAGTAAAATGTACATCTTTAGCTAACGCACACAATGACAAATCAAAATTAGTCACGCGTTTTCGGGCTGTCAGGTCGTCTATACGCCAGTATATTCTAAGTCTATGGTAAAAATGGTCCCACATGGTAGTTGGCAGATTGGCGGAGAACACATATCCTTGCACTGGCCTTTGTAATATTAAATAAATAAAATTATTTCTCTGCTTCCAAAAAAAATCATAAATCTCTGCAAATTATTTGAAAGTGTTAAACTATAACGCACATAAACCAGTGCTTGACTACAAACTCAGTGGTAAGTAGTGATGTAATGTAAGCCTTGGTGGTAAATCACGCTGCACAATAAAATTATTTCGTCGTTAAAATAATAAATTGTATGTAATTAAACATTTGCAGGGATCTATGCATTGATTGCAATCCCTTTTCCATAAATATTTAAAATTAATCATAGATGATATCTATTGAATCAAAAATCCATTTTAAATGGCATACCTATACAACTTTCTTAAAGTTTCTTTAAGATGGCTTCTAAGCTCAATAAAATACCCAGAAAAAATGTTAGCAGGAAATACATAAAGAAAGTTTATGAGACTAAACGATATTTACAATGTTATTAGTAAAGGAACATATTATTACATTAAAAAAAATTATAAATGGTAAGATAATGACTTCTGACGTTTCTGTGGTAGTATTTAAGAATTAATTAATGTATGTAAACCATCAGTATAGAGCACATTGAATAGTTATAAAGTAAAAGAAAAGCGTCACTCAAGTCGGACGCACACTGAACACCAACAAAAAGTCAAATTGGCAGTCATAGAGAGCGTCAACCGATTAGTTGTGCTTTCTAGTTAACTCATGCTAAAGGCAATAAAATGCCATGAATGTACGACACAAGTTTAATTTATTATTCACATTTCGAAGTATCCATTTACGCCCGGACATTTAATAAAACTACAGAAATCAATGTTCAATTATACTTAATACAAGTTGCACAAATTTATTTTTAAAATATACCTTAATTTTATTTGTCCCTGCGACAACTGAATGTTATTTATTCACCAAAAAAAAAGGCTTTATCACTTATTTTTGTAGTCATAAAGAACTTATAGAATTGTTATTTACGTAGGTACTTCATTAATAAATAAAGTTATAATTAAAACATTTATATTTGAATAAACAACTGTAATTATCCGCAATATTGTCTCCTTAATAAATCAAGCGTAGGATGGTGTACCATTACAAAACGTGAATAAATACTAAATGCCTTCATTCTAACAATTGCAATACAAGCGCTAAATCAGTTTGCAGGAAAAATGCAAAACATTAGTAGAATTTTGTTATCTGTTTGTGAATGTATTTGAAGTAACATGTTTGCGATGATTTTGCACGGGTTTAAAAATCATGTAGGTATGAACAATGGAGGCATTTAGGTTAGTCGCAGAATGGTGCCTTACTCGAATGCGCTGATGGTCAGTGGCCGACTTGGGCATCGTCATACGCTCCAGCATGTACTGCAATGACGGGAGCGTTATCATCATGAAAACTAAACTCATATAAACTTCCTAATAAATGTTTAATAGTATAATAAACTAAACCGAGGGAAAACTACGCACTATTTCGTATTTTCGTTGAAATTTTGGCTATTTATTAATTGTGAATTATAGCTACATACCGTTCATTGCCATAATCTATACATCTATACAAATAAATAAAATGAAGTGTCTGTTTGTAATGTCAAAATAACAGATTTTTACTAAGTGCATATGAAAGTATATACGGTACTAATAACAAAAATACAATTTTTAAAATTTTTGTCTGTCTGTCTGTCTGTTTGCTTGTTCCAGCTAATCCCCAAAACGGCTGAACTGATTTTGCCGGAACTTTCACTGGTAGATAGCTTATGTTATAAGAAGTAACTTAGGCAACTTTTATTTTAGAAAAAGAATTCGAATTCCGCGCTAAAAATTAAAACCCATATAATCCAATCGTAATAAATTGCACGCGGGCGATATCGCGGGGGACAGCTAGTGAGTCAATAATTATGAAGAAGTTAACAAAATATTAGGTAAAGAAAATACAAAAAACTATGCATATATGAATGTTTTTCCAGGTAACAGTACATAATATAACTATTGCAATGCTTTAACTTTAAGATAACTACAGTTATGAATAAAGTGAATTCTGAATATTCCACGAAACAAAATATTTTGTTCTCACAAACTATAGTAGATTGGTTGTGAGACAATCAATGAAACCAATCCATTGTGTGAACAAAATGTACACTAAGACGTATTATCATTTTGAGTTACTAACCTTTGCCCATGGATGACTCTTGATTTGTGGAAATTTGAATTCTGTATAATTGGGATTCATCTCACGAATCTGTTCGCGTGTGGGTGTGCCTAGGACCTGTAACAAAAAAATATGTACTTTAGTCTAGAATTTCGGACACAAACTTGTAAAATTAATGTTACTTTATTTGACAATACTTTACTTTTAATAACACGTAGTATATTATGCATTTTTAAAAGTTCAAAAACTATTAGAAAGAATGATTCGTTTTCATAGAAAGAAGCTACTTTTCTTTAATACGAAATTTTATACCTTAATACAAAAAGAAAACTTATTACTTTTATATGAAAAGTAGCTTCTTTCTATTATTAATTTACATTTGACATTTCTTATTAAATTTATTTTTGTAGATAGCCCTTTAAGCATTTTGTTCTCGACATTAGATCTATGTTACTAACAGACAAATATTAAAAAATAAGACACCATAAGAAGTGTTTTATCACAAAATACGTATGTTTACCTTGATGATTTCAACAAGTTGATCAACGCCGGAATCACCTGGGAATATCGGTTGGCCTAAAAGCAATTCTGCTACAACACAGCCCGCGCTCCAGACATCTGCAGAAGAATTTATTTTATTAATTAGTAATTTCAATTACTGCCGATAAAATATGTTTAAAAAGATTAGTAGATTTATGTACAAAAGATATACGTACATAATTTTTATACACTATGTATATAAAGTGTTCTCTGAGAAACAAACAAGAAGATCGGCAACAAGAAGTCTTAATAACTAGAAAAATAAAAAACTGCAGTTGCCAACCCGCTTGTCAAGCTTGGCAGCTAATGGTAAGATATTCCCCTTATAAGGATAAATATGGGGAAGCCTATGTACAGAATTGGACTTTGATGCCTATTGTAATGAACGATGAATGGTTGAAGGGATTTCTAAGGAACAGCCAGAAAGTTTTGTCACTTCCGATATATGGTGGTTTAAGATTATAAAGTTATTTAAGAATTTTTTTAGTCATGTAACATCACTAAAATTATAAAATAGTAGTCTTACGGTGATCGTTTCTCTAAGTTCCTAACAAGATCTCGAAAGACATTAAATGTAAGTCTTCATTATTAAGATGTTGGTAAATGTACCTTTACTCAAAATTTCATGATCCGATATTAAATGACTATATTTTAATATCCAGAAATGGGCCAGATTAGGAGTACCCTTAACCGACGAGCGTGTATGCGTAGATATATGGATGTAAAAGAGGCGAGAGAGGTGTGTCAGGATCGCGCCAAATGGAAGTCCGTAGTCTCTGCCTACCCCTCTGGGTGACAGGCGTGAGTGTTTATGTATGTATGTATTTAATATCCAATCAAAAGCATCTTGTTTTTAGGAAATTTTATTTCCTCAAAACATGAAAATAACAAAACTTTATGCTAAACTAAGCAGTGTTCATATGTTAAATTAAAAAAAGGTCTAATTATTCTTTTTATAAACAAAATGATTTGTTTTTCTTCTTAATATTTAAAAAAATACATTTCTTATTTACATAATATATTAAATAAACTTTATTTTTTGTAGTTTTTACATACAACCAAATTTTTTGAAGTAATGATTATGAATAAACAGACAACACTCACCGATCTTAGTTGTGTAATCAATGGCGCCAAAAATGAGCTCGGGCGCGCGATAGTACCGCGAACAAATGTAGGAGACATTTGGCTCCCCGCGTACGAGGTGTTTTGCAGAGCCGAAATCGCACAATTTCAACACTCCGGTTTTGGGATCGAGCAGCAGGTTCTGTGGTTTGATATCTCGGTGGCAAATGCCAAGCGAGTGGATATACGCAAGGCTTCTAAACAACTGGTACATGTATAGCTGTTGGAAGAAAAAATATCGACATTAGTATAGACAGACAAATGACAGGTTCTGTGGTTTGATATCTCGGTGGCAAATGCTCAGCGAGTGGATATATGCAAGGTTTCTAAACAACCTGGTTGTGTAGCTGCTGTGTGGATGAAGAAATATCGACATTAATACAGACAAGTGACTATGTTATGAAATATTTAAATAGTACTTCTCATTTCTTCTTGTTGATTGACTCGTACAGCCCACTGCAGCATATGGGCCATTGTTGGAAGAATTTGCCATAATCGTTACAGTTGGCAGACAAATTGGCGATTGTAGTAACAAATGTCTCACACCTTTGGCACTGCTCCTCGTCGCCGGTCTGAGTAGATTACATTTGTTTTATGAGTTGGTATACCACCATTTTCAGAGGCCCCAAGGTATCTCTGGCCTTTCCCATAGTTTATGGCAGATTATCCTAAAGGCAAACTAGGCACGTTCCTAGGGGCGTAAGGTTATAACGGGGCACTTGGGGAAAAAAAATATGGCCGCGGGTTCGAATCCCGCACGGAGCAAGTATTTGTATGGCCTACAAATAATTGTTCCGGGTCTGGATGTTTGTCCTCGTGCAATTTATATTTGTAAACTGCCTCCAGGACACAGGAGAAAATCCTAGTGGGGATAACGTTTTTTTTTTAAAAAATGGTCGAGCGAGGTAGAAAATTTCGCGTAAATCGCCCTTAAGTGACCGCTCGCCATTGAGATGATAAGGATGGAATTTCGAGTTCTGTTACAGTGTAAGATGGTTGAATTCAGTAGCTGAAATTAATCCGAACAATTCCTCTGAGCACTTCCCGTGGTGTAAGCGGTAGAAGATGCATAAAGATACAAAGTCTCTTCGCAAGGTCGATCGGAAAGAACTTGGTCGTCGACGATTCGAGCCACTCTCCGTTGAATACGGTACTGCACATCTCTCGAAATGTCGACGCCAAGGATTCCGATGCTGGTTGAGGCAACGAGGGGAGTGCTCTGAAATTGAGGAGATACTATAAAAGCTGTGTCTTTTGAGGGTTAAACTGGACTACTTTTAGAAAGACTCGACTTCAGACACAAGTTTGTTCCGTTACTCGACGACGTGTTCCCGATAAATATTAGTACGGCCGGTGTATAAGGCATCGCCAGTGCTGTCGCCCTCATAACAGCGAATGTTACTAGCATCATTATATCATTGATATTCAGAAGGAACAGGGTAGGCGATAGAACGCAGCCTTGTGAAACACCAACATTCACAGGCTTGGAGTCGGAGCATGCACCATCAAGTACAACCTTAATACACCGATCTGTAACAAAACTGGTGACCCAATTGCATTATTCCTCGGAAAGCCCTTAAGAGGGAGGCTTTAAAAGAAGCGTCTTGTGCCAAATCCCTATGTCCAAATTAACTGCCAGGGCCTTCCACTTGGTCAGTCACTTGGTGAGTCAGGTAGACAAGCTGAGCGACCTTGACGGAAACCGTATTAACAGTCACTAATCAGCTAATGCTCTTCAAGGTACCTCATGATCTGGCAGTTAACAATGGATTCCATTATTTTGGAGAACAAGAGGGCGATGGCCATAGGCCTGAAATAGGACAGGTTTGAGCGGTCACCTTTTTAAGGATTGGTTGCACTAAGGCTGTCTTCTATGAGCTTGGAACAGCGCCTAAAGAGTAAGAGAACCGGTAAAGACTTAAGAACTGGTGCTCATTCTGGATCACACATCTTCAACATAATTGGGGATCGGGGTGATTCTATCAGGCCCACTCCACTTATAGACATCCAGAAACAGTAGTGCTTTACGCACTGAGCACTGTGTGAACCGAACATCCTGCTTTGAGCATTCACACTGCAGATTGGTAGGCGGTAGGTTTCCCTGTCATCGAGAGTAGAGTCTGACAAAAAAGAGAACCTAAAAGATTCATCCTCCCTACGCAGAAATGGTACGAGTAATAATGGCTTACAGAAATTCCCTTGGGCAGTGCCATTGGTGAGACAACAGAATGCACAAGTTCCCGAAAGAAGGCGAACTAGCTTCTCGCCAATTCTCTCAACATGCTACGACTTTGCCCTAGCTCTTTTGGACCTGGAGGCAGGGTACTACTTCTTTTTGAGTGCGCTAGTGCTTGCATCCCTAGATGCCGATGCGCCAGCCCAGGCCTTGTAACACCCCTGCTTTTGCCGTGACGCCATTTTGCAGGAGTGATCAAAGCAAGGCTAGGATCTGCCGCCGATAGGCTACAGATGACGGGATGAAAATTTCCATCCCCTGAAGCACCACATTGCAACAGACCTAGCATCGATGTTGGAATGATCCAGCGAGAAGCAAATCCATTCATGGGTAGGATGCATAAAAAGCTCACATCCCATCCCAATCCCCAGACCTATAATGTCACACACAGCGACATACTACAGATCAGGCAGTGATCCGAAGAGCCAAGATGTACATAGACTGAGATGTGATATCTGTCCGGATGAGAGGTCAGCAGAAGGTCCAACAGGGAATGTGCATCCTCCACATCTGGAATCCGCGTAGGCGAAGTAACCAGTTTTATCAGACCATACGCCAAGGCAAAGTCGTAAACAGATCTCCTCGCATGATCGATAGTACGAGAACCAAGCAATTCGACGTGGTGGGCGTTGAAATCACCAAGAATCACGAACTCCGAATGGGATCAGTTGTAGCACGGAATCTGTAGCCATTTAGACGTGGTTGATAAGTCTTTCTGTCTCCAATCAAGTATATTGCCATATTGATTTTGCTCCGTTTGCTTCGTGTACGATATATACAGAGCGTAGTTGTGCGAATTATGTAGGCTATTAAAACGTCGGCAAGCAGTCAACATCAAAGGAGTGCAACTTCTGTATGTAATACTATTATTTATTCTGTGGCATTATATTGAACATGGTTAGAAAGGCCGAGTGTGCAATTGGTGTAGTTGATAGTTTTCGACTATCCAGGATAGGAGAGTTTTGGAACAAGGATGTGTACGTCACGCTGCCTCAACGCATGCAGGCAGACTTCATCAAGATACTTATATCTCAGATATAGGTTTCCAACGTGCACATGGTATAAAGTTGAAAGTTACAGCATATATCCGTCCCACTGTAGGGCACGTGGTGCAATCACGGTTATACGTCGCAGTGATACTGGTCTTTCTAGACCTGCATAGCTCACACAGGGCATGTGGTATATCAGTACTTAAAATTATGAATAACAATTTGGTGCCAGTGGGGGTACCTGGCAATCGAATCATTCTAAACCCATGCATTTCAACAAACAATTAAAAATTAGTCATCATTCATCATCATTACAGCCTTTCATAAGTCCACTGCTGAACATAGGCCTCCCCCAAGCAATGCCACAAAGCACGGTCCTGAGCCACCTGCATCCATCGACTTCCTGCATGTCTTACCAGGTCGTCACTGCATCTCGTGGGGGGTCACCCTACACTTCGCCTACCGGTACGAGGCTGCCACTCAAGAACCTTTCTTCCCCATCGGTTGTCGGTTCTTCGAGCTATATGGCCGGCCCACTGCCACTTCAGCTTACTAATCCATTGGGCTATATCGGTTACTCTGTTTCTACTGCGCATATCCTCATTCCTAAGTATATCACGCAGAGAAACTCCGAGCATAGCCCTCCATAGCTCGCTGAGCGACCTTGAGCTTCCTCATACGGCCAGGAGTGAAGGACTACGTCTCAGATCCGTAAGTCATCACTGGCAACACGCACTGGTTGTACAATTTCGTTTTAAGGTATTGAGGTATGTCTGACGAGAAGATGTGTCGTAGCTTCGCGAACGCTGCCCAGCCAAGTTTAATCCGTCGATTAACCTCTCGGTCGAAGTTGGACTTACCTAGTCGGACTATTTGTCCCAGGTAAACATACTCGTCAATAACTTCGAGCATAGTGCTCCCCAACAACTACCGGCATAGGTGTGACATGGACATTAAACATAATCTTTGTTTTGTCCATGTTCATCTTAAGACCTATCCGTTGAGAGACACTATTGAGATCATTGAGCATAGTGCTTAGGTCCTCCAGCGATTCTGCCATAAGGACTATATTGTCGGCAAATCTAAGGTGAGTGATGTACTCGCAATTAAAAATTAGTACAAACCTTTATAAAACTAATAGGTATTGTTTGTTCATCTTTGGAGTAGTGACGTGCAACCTTGTACACTGTCTCGGGTATGTACTCCAGCACCAGATTCAGGTACACTTCGTCCTTCTGTAAATGGTTTAAATAAAATTAACAGACACGCATATTTTACAAAACAAAGGCAAAATTAATATTAAAAGATAAAATAACTTTCAAAGTGACAAATCGCCTATCTGTAGCCATTTTACATGCTCATAAAAACTGTTCACATTCACACCTCAGATTTAGAAGAAATATTAACTGTTTAGTAAGGTTAGAGTATTCCAATGATCATAGATTCATAACCAATTGTTAATATAAAACAGCAAAGAAAAAGATAGCAAAAGAATATTAGTGGAAAAGAATAAAGTTGAGAGAAGTTACTACTGAGAAAATGTTAAATACATCTACACTAATGCTATGATTTTTACCTAAGGCCTCAGTGGAAACGCTCCGCCGAGCACTCCACTAAGGCTCTTAGTTATAATATTAGTTCCTGATATATGAAATTGACTTCCTATGTAGAAATATTCACACCACTCTCCTAATAAAAACATATTTATACTAGCTGGCCAGGCAGACGTTGTTCTGCCCTTTCCGACGACCCTTCCTATAAAAAAATCCTTAAATTCGCAATAAAAAAATATTAAATTTTTTATAAAAAATTTACCGGGGTAAAAAGTATCCTATCTCTCAAGTTGGACCAAACTGAACACAGTGTGCAAAATTTCATTGAAATCAGTTCAATAGTTTCAGAGTTCATCGCGGACAAACAATGTGACACGTAATTTTTATATATAAAGATAAAGCTAGCGCGATCCGCCCCGGTTTCGCACGGTTGAATTCGGTATCTCGACAACAACGCCACCTACCGGGTACAATTGTGAATCTAAACTATTTTCCAATTAACTTAATCATACACACAAAATTTCATCAAAATCGGTCCCGCCGTTTAGTTCAGTCACGTACACACGGACAGAAGAATTATATAATATGAATATGACGACCCTGTGTCCTATAAAAATTCTTAAATTCGTAATAAAAAATATTGAGGATCACTTATAGGGATAAAAACTATCCTATCACTCAAGTTGGACCAAACTGCACACAGTGTGCTAAATTTCATTGCAATCGGCTTTGTAGTTTAGGAGTTCATCGCGGACAAACAATGTGACATGTAATTTTATATATACAGATAATATACATATAAACTTTTCTCTTGAATCATTCTGTCTATTAATGAAAACCGCATCAAATTCCGTTGCGTAGTTTAAAGAATATAAGCGTACAGGCGGCGGGTAGCGATTCTTTTATTATATTACTAGCTGTTCCCCGCGACTTCGTTCGCGTGTTAGGGTTTTTATGTTTTTGCGCAGAACCCTAATTCTTTTTCTAAAATAAAAGTAGCCTAAGTTACTCCTTATGAAATCAGCTATCTGCCAGTGAAAGTCCCGTCAAAATCGGTCCAGCCGTTTCGGAGATTACCCGGAACAAACAGACAGACAGACAAAAATTTTAAAAATTGTATTTTAGTTATAGGTACCGTATTTACTTTCATATGCATTTAGTAAAAAACTGTAATTTTGACATTACAAACAGACACTTCAATTTTATTTATTTGTATAGACTATGTAGAGATAATCAAAATATAATAGTCAGTGCTGTTAGTTTGTTTCGTCACGCTTCTCTCAACAACATTATCGAAGGGCTCTTGTATTTATAAATATTACTTCGATTTTAGAGTCTTAGTCTTAGAAGACCAGACGGTATAACTAGATCCCTTGCGAAAGATGCATATCGGTCCGTGGGTGCAGTGAAGTTACTAAGTGACGAACGAAACTGTTTCCGCGATTAGTTGTTGGCGGTGGTGACAAGAAGGCTGGTTATTTTCTCGCTCAGAGGCTATTTGGTAAAAAAATATTTTAATTATACTAGATGTTCCCCGCGACTTCGCTCGCGTATTACTTGGGGTTTTAATTTTTTTGCACGGAACCCTAATTCTTTTTCTAAAATAAAAGTAACCTAAGTTACTCCTTGTGACATCAGCTATCTGCCAGTGAAAATCCCGTCAAAATCGGTCCAGCCGTTTCGGAAATTAGCCGGAACAAACAGACAGACAGACGGAAAGACAGACACAGACAGACAGACAGACAAAAACTTTAAAAATTGTATTTTTGTTATTAGTACCGTATATACTTTCTATATGCATTTAGAAAAAAGCTGTAAATTTGACATTACAAACAGACACTTCAATTTTATTTATTTGTATAGATGTATAGATATATGGCCCATAATCTTTTTTTTTATTGGAAGTTCATTGATGCATATAATTCTGAGGACTGCAAACAATAAATATTTTAAAGGAATTTTTCACTGTCACATCGATTTTCAAATATCGAAAATAATTTAAATTGGCACAAAGAAGTGCCGACAAGAATGGTAAACGTGTTTCCAGTTACAGCTTCTGTAATTTTGATGTTGATATTACGAACTGTGACGTGGTTTGAAATTAATCCGCTTTTAATTCTTGATTACAAATTTTACTCTCTGGCCGTTCACAGGTTTGTTTGAGGTCGAAATTTCCAGAACGGAAGCGATCAAAACAGAAACGTGCCGAGCGTTTATTTGCGGCAATTGGTTCATAGACGTCGTTGATATTGCGTGTCGTCTAGGCAGTAGGCAACAATGAAGCGAAGAGCATATTATTCGAAAATAACGCAAATTATCAATTAGTTTACGGACAGACAGTTTTCTCAGACAGAGCGATATTAAAGAAAAAAATTATAAAGCAATATCATATCTAACATACACAACAAACATTTATTATTTGTATTTTAGAATTCCAAGATGAATGAAAGAAGATTTTAAAAAGGTATACTTCTCAAGTCGCTAAACCTAGTAAAGCTGTAGCTAGTAAATAAAATAGTATTGGACAACGGCATTTTCATAGGTAAGGAGCTAATAAAATATAAGTTGACAAAGTGCGTTGTGATTTATTATATTGTTATGGTTTAAATGAAAAACATAACCATAATAAAGTCATAAGTGAACACATGAAATCATTTCTATCGTAACACAATTTAAGGACTGCATGCCAATTTTTACAATACACAAGAACAAGTGGTAAAATAAATTTTTTTTTACAACCGACTTTAATATAAATTATTAAGGACAACTCAAAAACTACTGGTCAGACCTTGATCTAATTTATATGGGACCGACATGAAAAAGAAGCACCGTCTTACAATTAAAAAAAGAATCATCGAAAGCGGTTCATCTAGAAAAAGTTAGGCAACACACAGTCGAATTGAGTACTTTCTCGTTTTTTAATTCGGTTAAAATACAACATTGAATTTCAAATGCCAATGAAACGTAATGGCTTCTTCCCTTCCCTCAAGTTTCTAATCGCATAAGCTTCTTAGTTGCGCCTACTAATGATATTATATATTATACGAAGTAAATAATTTGTATCTAATAAGTCGCCTCGGTCAAAAGGGATAAAAGGACAAAAACACCTGTTGCACTAATATAACTATATTAAGATAAAATCTTTATTCAACATCACATGTTTTAAAGAGATCAAATGACCATTAGCAGGCCGTAAAATTACGCAACATCGAAGCCCACCAACATGCCACGAAAGGAAAGTGGCTTATAAAGTGCTTGATACAGATACTATAGACTAATCCAGTTAACTTAATAAATAATGGATAATTTAAAGACAGCAGCATCCATATAAATATAAATTGACGCGCCACATAAAACAAAATGGTAGTAAAATTGATAAGTAGACACAATCTGTCGAACAGATTTGGCCAAAATCCAAAGGATCTTGGCACCAACATTCTGTCACAATTACTGTCTTACCTTGAACTGCAAGGCAAGAGGATAATAGCGAGTGCCCGCAATGAAAACAAAAAAAGTAAAAATCAAGAGTGTTATAAGTGGCGAAGTAAATAAATATAATCGAGATACATAACAATAAATGACTACAGACAGATGATATTAAGACTAAATGTTTTTAACATATTATACACATAAAGCAAAGCGGTTAATAATACAATGGAACTTGATGTGTGCAAAAACTTATTGTTGAAATAAAGAGAACAGTATATTATGTTACTATTAGATTCTGAGGATTGCTCTTACAGATTTGTTTAAACCTTTATTATAAATATAGTAATGAAAACAAGAAAAACGAAATACATACTCAAGAAAAGTCCAAATGCACCGTCATTATTTAACAATTAAAAAGTAGAGTGCAAAAATGTCAAATGGCTGACCATAGCAGTCTCTCACAAAGTAACAATATAAAGCGGCAAATGCTATGTATGTATGTATATACAGGTATAATTCAAACTGTCATACTCAAGTGATGATGAATATCGCTTACGGCATGTAAAAGCCCCTGGCTGATGATGAGGATTCAAAAATCAAAACACCACAACGCGAGGTCACCGACCGATAATTTATGTATATTAAGAGTTTTGTCACTAAAATACTAATAAAAATTAAGCAGTAAATATATGAATCGGTAACCCTTGTCTTAAATCTCAAAGACCTATATTATGTGCGTTGCACACTAGCGTAACACAATCTGGTTGCTTTCACGTACTGCGACTTCAAGATACTGCATTGCATTTAGTAGGGGGCTAACCGCCGCGGCCACTGTCACCTTACCCCAAATAAAACAAAAAATTTAGCCCTTTATGACTCGACAAAATATAATTAATTTTAATAATTGATTAAGAAAAATATTAAAAAAAATATTATTAGACTTAAAACTATCAAAATTGTAATTACCTTTTCTCCGCTGGAGTAAAAGAAGTATTTCAGTTTGACAATATTACAATGCTCCAGTCGTCGCATGATTTGAAGCTCTCGGTTCTGTAATATTGAAAATAAAATTAAATAAAGACAACCTGTTTTTTTTTTTTGTTGACGACTTAATTTTTGTGATATTTCAAGATATTATTATAAATTGTTTTTTTTTTTAATTAAATAAATTCAGTAAGAACGATCTTAATAAAATGTTACAACCGTACCTTAAACCTTTTGTCCTGGAGCACTTTCTTGATGGCGATGAGCTCACCGGTGTCGCATAACTTGGCTTGGTAGACAACGCCGAAGCTGCCATTGCCGATGAGCTTCATGTCAGAGTAGCTGACTTCTTGCGGCCGGTCGGGGCCCTGCCCCGGCGTCGCCACTACGGTCGTCACCTTCGAGCCGTCCTTGCCTGAAAAGTGCATGACAAATTTATTAGATATACATGCGTAATATATTAGTGAAAGTATTCACTGTTCACAAGTAACAGAGATGCAAATTTTTCCACTATATTATCTTTATTACTTATATATACGTAATACCGCATTTTTATGATCTGGGGCCTGTAAACCATGCATATTTTATAAATCATAGAAATACTAATTGTTTTCATTTTAATAAAATTATATTATCATGTGTTGTGTTACACTATCTTAATCATCAGCATAATCTGTAAATAGTTTGGAAAATCTAATAGTTCACGCCTCATAATCGTTTCATTTAATTTTGATGAAAAAATAGATTACCAAAATTAAATCGATTACACAAAGTATAAAATCGATACAGGCTGTAGGTACATTTGTCCTTTGTCTATCAAGCGCTAAAGAATAAAATGAAAGCGCCTTTAAGTTTTTAACAGCAATAAAATTTATAAACCAATATATAAAATTTAAAGACCACTCTGCTACCTTAGCAATTTATAAATACGTAAAAAACATTCTAGACAAAATCGACAATAAAAAATTCGCAGTAGGCCTCTTGCTCGATATGAGTAAAGCCTATGACAGACTTTGTTATAGAACACTATTGGATAAACTATATCAAACAGGAATTAGGGGAGTAGCTCACAATTGCTTTAAATCCTATCTTGATAACCGCTTTCAATATGTAGAAATTGAAAATACCGACTTCGAGACTGGCAAAATTACACATGTTAGATCTGATGCAACTGTCATTACTGGTTCTACCCCACAAGGTAGCGTTTTGGGATGCATTTTGTTTCTTGTTTACATAAATAATCCCCCAAACATACTGGACGATCTATGTGTGCTCTTTGCCGATGACATCTCCATCTTAATTTCTTGCACTAATTCCACGGATTTAACAACCAAAATTGAACTATACATTAGATAAAATTACTAACTGGCTAGAATTACGTAATCTACAACTTAACCTTAATAAAACTAAAATTATTCAATTTATACCCTACCAAAAAACTGTTTTACAAATATCTTATAGCTATAAAAACACAAAAGTAGAAACTGTTAACTCTGCTACTTTGTTAGGAATAGACCTGGATACGCATTTGAGTTGGAAACAGCACATACAAAAAATTGTAAAAAAAAATATACTCTTTTATTTACGCTCTACAATACCCCAAACGTGTGACAGATTTTAAGACTGCCCTTGCGGCTTACTATGCACATGCTCATTCGGTACTCTCCTATTGTATTGTGGGGAAACTCTTGTGATGTGAACAAATTATTTATATTACAAAAGAAGTGTCTACAAATATTAACGAATTTAGACCAAATGGAATCATGTAAACCTCACTTCATTAAATATAAAATACTAACACGTCTATCTACATCCTCGAGTCTTGTAAATTCGTCAGGAAACACCCAAAATTCTACTCACCTATTACAATAACTAAAAGAAATAATAGAAATTTACATAAGCTTAGGATACCCTTCTCCAAACTAAAATTAGCTTCGACTAGTCCTCACGTTATGTCAATAAAGATTTATAACCATTTACCGAATTCTATAAAAATCCTAGAAAACCCTGCGCAATTTAATAAAAAATTAAAACATTCCTTATTAATAAATGTTATTATACTTTGAAAGAATTTTTTGACGATAAGTAATGACAAAGAAAAAATACTTCGACTATATTATATTTCTAATTTAAGTAATTTATATAGAATAATATTGAATGTTGACGATATGATATTTTATAATTTATGTTTAAAACTTAGATTATACAAAAATAGTTAGTCCTCTAGTGTTGCTATGCCCTTGCAGGGCGTCACATGTATTACCTATCAAATGCAACATCTTAAATTTGTAATGTGACATGCAATAAACAATTTGAATAAACCTTGAAAATAATTTTATTAACAAACTACGCGTACTAGGCTATTGATATGAAATAGGGAACAAGTTGACGTAATTCTGAAACTAATAAAGAAGCCCGGTCTCGATACGTCCATTTTTTCGGAAGTTATTGTGACCACATACAAAATCAACATCCGGACGTCCACGTAAATTTTTTTTCAAACCGTTTTTATCAAAGTGGCAATATATTAGAAAATATAATTGGATTAATTAGTGTTTTCTTGATATACGACTACTCATATTATCGTAAAATTGCAATATCGTTATGACAGAGGCATTTTAAGACCACAAAATTGCTTGACTTTGACGTGTCGAGAGTAACACACTAACTAATAACGCTTCGCGTTATGAGGAGTGTAACAGTAAGTCAGTAACAGAATCTAGTTTTTCAAAGTTAATACCAATCCTAGGTTTCTTATGCAATCCGAGCCCACCATATCTTAAAGAACACGTTCCGGAATCGCTTCTAGCATTTTCACATTTACGTGTGTGAAAGGGGTTTTTTCTGACCTATTAAAAGCCTCAATATTTATTCGCTATTTCCCTAAGTCCATTGAAATGACGCCCACGTCTAGAACTGATTCTCTTACGACGCAACAAAACATCAGACGTAACTTTACATTAATGATTAAATTTGTCTAAATCTATTTATAAAGGTTAATTTAAAGTTACAGCCTATATACGTCCCACTGCTGGGCACAGGCCTCTCCTTATTTCTGAGAGGGTTTTACGGCAAGCAAATGTCCGCTGCGCTGCCCCATTGCGTGTTGGCGAACTTCACATGTCTTCGCCGCCGAGCACGTGGTAAATCAGCACTTAAAATTGCAGTTAACAATTTCATTGGTGCCGGCGGGGTTCGAAACCGGTTTGTTCGCGTACTGCGCAATTTACAGCGAGCGCTAACCATCTGAGCTACCACGGCTCTTATGCAAATAGAAATAGATACACAAATTATAATTCGATATTATCCAAAAAAAATCGTGTAGCGGTGGAGGAACTATCAATTCATTCCGTCCAGTGGTTGTCGTGAGAGGCAACTATGGGAAGGGCCGGCAAGGCCTCGGAGTCGTCCTTGAGATAATGGTATACCATTAATGACAACAGTATATAACAGGTGTAAATACCCAGACCGGTCACGGCATCGTCAAAGATGCAAGAGATCTAGTATTGGGAAAATAAACTAGTTAAGGAGTCTTCTCTCTCTATTTTTGTGTGTAATTATTATCGTAGTAGTTATGTGTAACACTATGTGTTGTAACATTACTCAAATAAGCGATATAATGAAAAGCTGTGCTCGCTAATTTTATAGAATTGACTTCCTCTAGATTAGAATATATTGCGTTTCTCCTAACACCTAAGACTAAATATTCCTTGTCATCAACATTTCGTAAACACAGGGTTGGACTTGAGCCTGTCAACTTGGGGGAGACTTTCCATGATCGCCACGCTTGGTAGGCGAAACAGTGATCACAATACCAGATGTCTTACTTTTTTGAAGCTGCTTTCTTGCGCAGGTCTATGTATTTTACATCTTATTATGTTACCATCGATCGATGGTGAAATAGATTAGTCGACGTCGATCGATAGTTTCTACCAAACACAAAGCCCCCACCCACAACCACATCAATTAATTGTCGAACGAATAACGTTTTATCGACCAGTATCCGTCGATCAGAAAGCTAACCACACCAATAGATCATAATCGATCGACGATCGATCGATTGGTGTGGCTGACATAAATACGAGACAACGTTATTTGACATTTGACTTCGACCCTTCGATATCAGTGTTTATAAAATATTCCATTGATTTTTTTTCGCAAAGCGTGACGTAATTAAGCATTTGTTTTTAACATAATTTGATTACGTAAAAATATATAAACCTCAATTATCATATTGTCTGTTTGAAATGTATATAGGACAATTGTGAAAGTACACACTAACAGTTTTATTATTAAAATTCTATTTAATAATTATTGCTCTACATAAAACAAACATTCTAAATAAGGAGCATAAATCTGCTTGCGTAATAAAACCAAATACATTACTGCTATTGGACAAAAATGAGAACGGTTCCTGGTCAAAACTACTTTTGACCGACGAAAGCTATGAAAAATACTTTTGACTGAATTCGAAGCCTGTTATCAAGAGCACTTTGTTACCAGCCAAAGCAGATTATACCTAGGATAGGTAATCTAGTTTTTTCTGGACTTAGTAATATAGCCTTTCTAGGTTTACCAGCCGCACCTCAAATCTACTGATAATACTTTGTTAAATATAAGTAAACGTATGTTAAGGTGTAGCTGTGGTGGTGGTCCTTGGGACAACCCAAAGCCGCGGCCATAAAGTTATTCCTATCGGGTGAAAATAGTTTGTCCCAAAATCAGCAATGGACGTTTTGTAAACTATCAAGCAATTTTTTTTACTTAATATCCCTTCCTGGTTAAAATCTGTTTTAACGACCAATCTTAAACAATAAAAAAAAATCAAAACAGCTATTTATCAAAAAAAAAAAATCAGTCATAACTGCTTTTGACAGCTTTACCTCTTTTACTTTGTCAAAAAACACTTTTAGATTGTTTTCATCGGTCAAAACTAGTTTTCACCCTATCGAAAACACCGAGAGTTTTGACTGTATCATCATCATCATTACAGCCCTTCATAAGTCCACTGCTGAACATAGGCCTCCCCCAAGGAATGCCACAAAGCACGGTCCTGAGCCACCTGCATCCATCGACTTCCTGCATGTCTTATCAGGTCGTCACTCCATCTCGTGGGGGGTCGCCCTACACTTCGCCTACCGGTACGAGGCTGCCACTCAAGAACCTTTCTTCACCATCGGTTGTCGGTTCTTCGAGCTATATGGCCCACTGCCGCTTCAGCTTACTAATCCGTTGGGCTATGTCAGTTACTCTGGTTCTACTGCGGATATCCTCATTTCTAAGTTTATCACGCAGAGAAATCCCGAGCATAGCCCTCTCCATAGCTCGCTGAGCGACCTTGAGCTTCCTCATACGGCCAGCAGTGAAGGAACACGTCTCAAATTCGTAAATCATCACTGGCAACACGCACTGGTT